GCATGGAGCCGGCACTTTCACAGAGTGATGCGACCATCGTCTCCGTAAAACTGACATGCTTACATACATTTCATGTGTGTTGTTCTAATTGTGTGCGCTCGCTACCGTTTTCATCCTTCGGATATAACTGAAGCTTGTATCAACGCGCATTTTCTTCAAAAATATCTCCACGCTCTTTCAAGACCTACAGATTTCGAAAAACCTCGATGGCTGTTTTTTATAAATGATGAATCCTTTTTGTTTGCGCTGTTTACCTTTCTAGGTGTATTCAACTTTCTTTGCTTTGAGCGTCTCGAATTCTTATTCCCGCCTAAAATCATTACTTCACAAAACTGCCATTCTCGATTGAAGTTGTTTGCAGAGTGCAGGCTAGTGTGCCATTTCTTTTTTTTTTTAGTGCGTAAAGGTCGACCATGCCTGAATACCTCGAGGTGCACCGAGACATTCAACACGAAGTCTTTGGCAATGTATAGCAAGGCGCGATTTAATCTTGGATGCCTGTGGAGCTCTACGAAGATGCATTACACGTATTGAAGCCTTCAGCTATTGCAGAAACTTTGTACGAAGTTGATCTGTAGTCCCCTTTGTCATCACACATGACAGAGAGCATCTTTGAATTGATGTTCTGATAGAGGCAAAAAAGTAAAACTCTTCTACATGACAGCCCATGACTGTGTTTGTATGTTAGCCAGGAACATGTCATTTTCGGATTACACAACTCTCGATTGATATGTGGGGTTCAACGTCCCAAAACCACCATATGATTACGAGAGACGCTGTAGTAGGGGGCTCCGGAAATTTCGACCACCTAGGGGTCTTTAACGTGCACCTAAATCTGAGGACATGGGCCTACAGCATTTTCGCCTCCATCAAAAATGCAGCCGCCGCCACAAAGACGTCACAATTCTCCGCATACAGCAATTTTACGGGCTGCATGAGGCGAGTATGCTATAGTAGAACATAAGAAATTATCTGTGAGTATACCTTATAGGCCGGCTAAGGATAAACCATCCCGTAGGTTCATTATACATTACTGCTCTAGGTTCGACACCTGAAGACGAGTCATTATGAAAAGGTTACCAGTCATCTTAGATTTTTTTCATTGTTGGGTGGCGCTGTTCTGAAACTGTTTTCGTTATTCTATCTTACGCTATACAGGAGCAAGAACAACACAGGTGGTTCAGTACACTGGTTTACGATAGTAATGCACTACTACACATTGGCGTGACTCTGTGGTAGAGCATCTAATATACAGATGCTATATAGTTTGGCATACTGAAATACTGTTGGCAACAATTTTTGTCATTCTTGCTTAATCGTGCAATATCTTTTTTCGGTACCGTGATGCGCATATTACTAACAACGTTTCACGTTAAAACTTTATAGTGAGAATACAGTTGCGGAGCTCTAGCACACACGCATAAGGCAGGGTCATGGCATTGCCGCTGCGTGAATGACGGTGTTTTTTTTTCGTTTTTCAATTCTAAACATGCTCGGTTACACGCCTCTGCGTCTTGATGACGAGGTCACAAGGAGCTGTCTGTTAAACAAAAGCTTACGCTCAATAATCGGCTCACAAGCACACACCGAAGAACTTATTTCGTGGAAGTTGTCTGTATTGTCTGTAAGATATGTATTAAATCCAGCTTCTTCTGGCTTTGCATGCATGCTGTCTGTAATGTGCAGTCGTCGTTATATTTGTCTATATTAGTAATGATGTTTACCGAAGGCTGTCACCCTTCATTTGCATAATTGAGGCGCAGCAAGAAGATGCGTCAACAGCAGGAGCAACTGTTTAAGAGGCCTCTGTTCTCGATCCGTTTGTTATTGTCAGAGCCAGTCACTAGGAAACAGGCTGACATCGTTTCTTGTCCCAGAGAGCCTCTATACAGTAATTACCCTGGCGCGAAGAATTCCCGTCTCGAAAAGCATTCGCTTACGAGCTCTTCCTTGATTCTAAACTTTCGTGACCGGGCTGTCAAACAGACAAGCCAGGGTGAGAGTAGTCGTACTTCCTTTTAAATGTTTTCAGCGGCAGTTGAAGCTTTTTTTGTTGAATTCTATTCACACGCGCACGCACAATCAGGCGTGTTGGCACATAAACATGCACACAGTGAGAGAAGGAAGGGAGGGTAAATTTATGTGCTCGTTTTCTTTGTTAGATACAATAATAACCAGAACTAATAAATAATAATGCCAACGAAGTATAGGGAATGCCATCAGAAGTAATGTAATGTGAATAATGTAAATGAATAAAGAAAAGCGGACAAATAAATAACGTGCCGGCGCCACGGACCGAACCTGCGACCTTCTCATGACGCGCCCGACGCTCTACTACTGACCTACGGTGGCGGTCATAACCCCCCCCCCCCCCCCCCACCAATGTACTTCCTAGGGTATATATGTACATTTTAACGTGGAAGTGTGAGTCAGCGCCGTCAGTACAGTCATCATGAAGACTGCGGAACACTTTTTGGCGGCTGGCGTAACGTAGCGCGTGATCTTGTTACGAGCTGGCAGCTGACCAATAATTTTTTGCATTCCACCTGAAGGCATCCAGTCTGCCAGAACGAGACCCTCGATTCGAATGAAAGAAAGAAGTGTCAATTTGCACTACTCTTGTTCATTTATAAGGGGGGTGTCGTTCTGGCTAGCGTAATTCTACTGCTCTAATTCTCGTTACGGTGACTTGTCAGACGCCGTAATGGCTTCTGGCGACGCTTACTGATGCTCTCAAGTTTGTATGTACATCTATACCCTATAAAGTGGACGGGTTGATGATCGCTGCCATAGCTCAATGGTAGAGCATTAGAAGGCCGCATGCAGGCTAGGTTCTGCCACTGCAAGTTATCTTTTCATCTACTTATTCTTATTTCAATTCACGTTACAATTACTTCTTAACGCATCTCCTATCCTTCCTGGGCATGATTGTCTGTTGGTTCTCACTAATACAGAGTGAAAGGAAGGTTCTAAATTATTTCTTAAACTTTGAGTATGCAGTTTTTTTTTTGGCGCCATCTTTCAAGGTCCGTGTCTGTGGCTCTTGGATTTGCCCCAACTGAAGCTTTAAATCTGAGCTCCTGTAGAAACGAGCAGGTTGAAGACGTGTTGTGTGATCCCGAGTGCAGTTAAAACGCATGATTGATCTTGCCATCAGCTGCCCACATAAAGCTCCGACATGGCCCTGATTGTTGTAACGTGCGTGGTGAATATCACACAACATTGGTGCCTTCAGACAAGTTTGCCCCGCTCGCCGCACTATCTTCTTTTCTTTTTTATTTGTTGACACTCTCCGATTGGAAACGTAGTCCACAAAAGAGCATTGCTGAATAAGTAGACGGTGATTTGTCTTCTTGAGTGAGCTGTCAGTTTCCTGGACCAGCTGTTATGCAGCCGATAGTGGCCGCGATGGGATGGCAATCCACGCCTCTTCTTTGACTGATGACTCAAACCAGAGCTGAAAACATATCAGCCTGAGACGTATAATAACGTCATGCTGCGCATTTCCTGTTGGTGTACGATGCGAATTTCAACTGCTAGTCAGTGCTTGTGGTAATTCGCTGCTTCTCATAACGTATTCGTAGAAAATAGCTGAAGTTACAAAAATACGTCGTGATGGCGGCGTAAGATTCAGTAAGTTTAAGTGCTTCATAACACCAAAAAAAAAAGAAAGGCGTTCGCCTCGCCTTTGTAGACGTCCTCTTTCTTGATTTCTTTTACAGTAAATCGCATGCAAAACAAAAATACTGATAATGAAATCAGTGGCTTATTTTATTACCATAGTTTGAAAAAAAAGAACACAAAAATGCCGCCCACAGTAAAGGTAACGAATATTTACACATTGTTGCGAACCTATAACGATATATCAAAACTTTAAGTAACACAGGTGAATTGGAAGGGGCGGGAGAAAAGCTACACAAGACTACAAAGTACATCAGCATGTGAACAGCAAACTGGAACATGCAAATTACAAATACACGTACATACTGGTCACTAAGATTTTATTACGTCACTCGGAGAAAATTTACGTCAGGATCTTCGGCTAATCTTAGTTTCTCTGAGAGTACGACCAGGGCAAAAGGACCTTTTGTGCAAGGCAACGACGCTTATACGATGTGTTTGCACGGTTTGCGGTTGTGCGCAGTCAGGCGAGGTTAACAAGTTTGCGAGATCGCCGTTGGACGAGCCTTCGGTGGTAGAGGACAAAACCAGGCTAATGATTGTAGTGAAGATGATAACCATTGCGATGAATGAAGAGGGGAGACCTCTTTAGAGACGCAACTACACGAAGACAGTGGATAAAGAGGCCATAGAAACAGCGGACGCAATATGTAGCTTTCCAATAGAATTGCACCAATTACACAATGCAAGGAAAGTAAAGGGTCTGATAAAAAAAATTCCAGTCTTTCGGGAGGGAACCCGTCGCCTTCACTTTATGCATGCTATGCGCTGCGGTTGTACAATGGTGGCGGCCAGTGAAATACGACCAATAAATAAATAACAGTATAGATACAAATACTTCCAGCTGGTGATATGAACATTAACCAATATACTGACCTTGATAGGAACAAACAGCGAGTACAAGAGAAAAGCGCGCAAATAGTGGCGGCTTGTGGTAGCTCGTTTCATACACTCGGGCTCGTCTCATAGAATGGCAGGTGCCTTCCTTTGCAGGGCTAAGGCGTCGCATATATCGCCAAATAAACCGTTCCTGTGCTTACTGCAAACACGTTATCCCACGAAAATACATCTCCCTACCTGACTTTCTGTCAGCTCCTCGCGCGTTAGCAATTTCTTGGAATCCAGTCTGTTACTCTTACTGACCACTGGTGGTGTCACCTACCCGCGCTAATGACCATGACATGTTTACACCTCCACGAATGCGTAATAAAGTAGGAAAAAGTGTAGTTCTCTTTGTTACGCAACAATGAAACCCATCTGTGTAAACTTCGTATTGCACGTAGTAACTAACATGCGTCTGCACAATTCCTCTCTTGCAGACGGTGACGGGAAACATTGGCGTGCACGCGCTGCCCTCAGAGACGGCGGTGCAGAACGTGTTCGAGGCGGTCGCTCGCGAGCTGTTCCGCAACGACATTTCGTGGGGTCGCATCGTGGCCCTGTATTCAGTTTCTGGAGGACTCGCCGTCGACTGCGTCAAGTTGGGCCACCCAGAGTACGTGCTAGGCCTCGTTCAAGCCCTGGGTCTCTTCGTCGAGCGTGACCTGGCCACGTGGATCAGTCAGCAAGGAGGATGGGTAAGATGTATTCTAACCGACATCTGTATGTCTTCTGCAGAATGTCAGCCTGTCTGTCCGACTTTCTTTCTTTCCTTCCTTCCTTCCTTCCTTCCTTCCTTCCTTCCTTCCTTCCTTCCTTCCTTCCTTCCTTCCTTCCTTCCTTCCTTCCTTCCTTCCTTCCTTCCTTCCTTCCTTCCTTCCTTCCTTCCTTCCTTCCTTCCTTCCTTCCTTCCTTCCTTCCTTCCTTCCTTCCTTCCTTCCTTCCTTCCTTCCTTCCTTCCTTCCTTCCTTCCTTCCTTCCTTCCTTCCTTCCTTCCTTCCTTCCTTCCTTCCTTCCTTCCTTCCTTCCTTCCTTCTTCCTTCCTTTCTTCCTTCCTTCCTTCCTTCCTTCCTTCCTTCCTTCCTTCCTTCCTTGATTTAGTTATTTATTTATCTATTTATTATTTATTTATTACGGAAAACTTGCTACTGTTTGTTCAAACCGAATAGGAATGTATAGCCAGAGATGGGCTACCACACATATAAAAAGCACAAAAATTCAAAAAGAGGGAAGGACTACTATGACACATGTCTGAACATACCAACACCCCTCTCCTTCCAATCTCCCTCGCACTCTTCATAAAAAAGCACTGTATTTTTCTAAAAAATATAGCAGGGGGAGTGCTTATACAATCGTCTAACGTCTTTCGATCTGAAATGTTTCGATCACTCAGCATCTTTCTTCTTCGATCACTTAGCAAAGTGACCAGTTTCGCCAACACAATCTGTCTACCGTCTATCAACAGATCTGATGTTACCTGATCTTCACGAACAGCTTTGCCTCTTTGTAGTCCCATCAGGGCTTTCCTGACTTCCCTGTCGGGGAGGTTAACCAAAAGAAATTTTCTGGTTTGCTTCACTGCACTGGGGAAAGGGGAACAGAACAGAAAGGGGAGGAGGAAAAAAGAAAACGGACGAATGGTTAAAAAAAGAAAATGCGTATATACAAAAGACGGGAGTGTCACAGTCATTAAAATCATTATTCATCTCTGTGGGGCTAAATGTGGTGGTACAAAAGGTTTGCTGTTAACCCTACATGTTGTGCGGATATGTTCTAGGGTGAGCTCCTTGCTTCTGCTGCATAGAATTCCAGCCTCCAGCGAAAAAAGAATCCGCTTGTTATTGAAAAGGGTCTTGCACGTGGGCCTGGGGTTGTCATGGTCGGCGTCTATAGTGATTTGGTTTATGCAGAAGTTCGAAAACCATCTTTGGCAGTACTCCGAGCAAGAGTAACATCTAGAAATTTATCAAAAATTTCTATGCAACATGACAGTGATCCTTTCTCTGGTGAACTAACACAAAGGACGACAACATGACCACAAAATAGTGGGTCTTTATTCCAAGCAGTAGTACCAGGGTATAAACGATGGAAACCATCAAAACCAATTTAGAAGCTGCTGGTTCTGAACGTTATCTGTGAAATAGATGGCATATGCAAGAAAGCAGACATGATGCCTCTAGTGGCGGTACAGATGGTGCTTCAACATTTTCATACAATGAACAATGGAAAGACAAAAATATATACAGATGGGCCTGCACTGAGGAAGCAACAGCCTGTGCGATTTTATAACGGAACTTGAAGAAAAGAGAATGTATAAGTTATCGCACTAATCGTCATCGATGACATCAGAATCGGTGGTTATTTTTGAGGCAGTTAAGTTTATCTTCAACAATTCTGGGACATGACAGTGGGTAGTATGCACGGATTGCAAGCCCGCCCTTCAGATAATTAAACATAGGAACTCATCCTGGCAAAATAGCACAATGCACAAAAAATAGCACAATAGCACAAAAATGGCGAAATAGCGCAATATATTGCAGAAGCTGTGGTATATGCCTCAGTGCAGGGTCACAACATCGTATTCAAATGAATACCAAGCCACATTGGAATAAAGTGCTATGAAGAGGCAGACAGTCTCGCCAAGAAAGCGTTAACGAAGAACGGAATTACCCGGTTCCTACTATGTCTGGGGCGAATATTCAAAATTTCCTAACGCAAAGAGCTAACCACGGCTGTATGGACAACTGATTTGACAGCCCTAAGTAGAACCAATCATTACTTTATGAAGTTGTTCCGTACAGGAATTTTTCAATAAGGACATATCTCGCACGACAGTTAAAGACATCACTCCGCAGACATCTGCTGGAACTAGTGTATACAAACCGCTTCCTGCGCAAAATACATCGATCCAGCTCACTGAAATGCCATTGTGGTCACGCAGATGAAAAATTTCGCCATATTTTTCGAAGTGCGTAAAGTAGGCAAAGGGAATAGAAAAGTAGGGAAGAAACTGGAAAGTTTGGATGGAAGGCCCTCAAGATTAAATAAATTACTTGGACCATAGCCTGAGATGCATCTTCAGAAAAAGACAGACATTTTTCTGAAAGATTTCTTAGTGGAGACCAGAGTGGAATAACTCTTGTGATATAGAGCTAGGAGTTGTGATATACGGAATATGGAATGATGCATTAGTACGTACACTGTGAGTAGAAATAGAAAAGTGTGCGTGTGAACGTTTTATGGCAGTGCAAATTTCTGCAAGCAAACTGTACATTGCCATGGTATTTCAAGCTGTTTCAATGTGCTATTATTCTTTTGTTGTCTTTCTCCTTTTGCTTATGGTTATTTTTGGGTATCATTTGTTGTTTTTTTTTTCACTGCAGATTTTAATGATATGAAAGTAGCCGATTTCTTAGGGACCTCAGCCTCTCCCCAGCCAAACATTTATAACAGAACAGAACTGCATTCAGGGCAATGTCATCTATGTGTCCGTCCTGCTACGTTGTGAACAACCTTAATTAATAGAAGACAGTGCTCCATGTGCAAACGTTTGCTTCAGCGGCGTTCCTTGCTCAACATTTTCTCGCCACATGAAGCCAGCTTTTCCTTTAGAACTCCAGTTTTTTTTAAGTATATAAACAATGAGGTTCTGTAGTGAGCGTTCGAGAAGCCTCATTTGCAGCGTGCCTGCAGTAAGCACTACCATGCCGACGGAAAGCTCTGAAAAAGCTAATCATGTAGTTTTTTGAAGATATGGGAAAAGGGCAGGGGTGCTTGTTTGTCGCGATACATTAGGTATATTTTCGGACATGGAACGCGTGTTTTAATAGAATTGCATCAAAACAAGGTAGCGTTAGAGAAGTAACACTGTTTGGTAAGAAAGTAGAATAGCAGTGTCCGTGGGTATATCTCGTTACTTTTTCAGCAAACACTTCTGGTGGCCGAAAGTACTCATCAAGTCTTGATTTTTTTCCTCATTCCAATACAGATGCTTTCAGATCGCGTTTTTATATTATTGACACCAGATGGTAAGAAAAGTTCATACAAGTCAAATGGTCTGACTCCTACCACTGTCACCTATAAAAGAGCCGGGATCGCTGATTCCCTCTTTGCGCGATCATCAAATGTACTCGAGGACTACGTATGCATTCGTGACGTACGCTCACTTTTTGTTCACTCATTTGGAAAACTGACTAATGAAAGATGAATGAAGCGTTAGGGTGCGTAACTGATTACCACTTTAACATCTGGATTACCAAAACGGCACGATTCCATCGATTCTGTCGCAGTATTTCACGCGGGAATGTCCGTCGAAGACGTGCTTTGCCGTTTTATCTTTGCTGTTATGTCCGCGAAGTAAAAAAAACAAACAGAAAGAAAGGACCGTGGGAACTGTTACGTAATGATTTCCTCAACTTCCGGCTCGACCCACACTCCCCCCCTTGGTGACTTTTCGTAAAGACAGGAACCACCGACGAAGGCAGCCTATGTTAAGGGGCAATTGTCTTCTAATTATGTCTGCGAAGATTACCATAATCAGCTGGGCAATTCACATTATTATAGTAAATGGGCGGACAAGAGTGGAGGTTCGGTCTGCATGTACAGATTAGAAGGGGGCCTACCCGACGCTCCCATACCACCGTCGGCTACTCTTGCGATTTGCTGCCCGATGGCGCTGCGTCTGTAGAAAGGACAAATAGCAAAAAGATGTGAAAATAGAAGAGGTCGGGAAGAGAGAGAGAGATGAGGCAAACAGATAAACGTTCTGTGGGAATAATTGAAAGATAGATATCCACTTTGCTACCCTGCAATGCGGAAGGCGCAGTGAGAGCCCAAACGGCAACATAGAAAAAAAAAGCAGCGAGAGAACAAGGCAGGGGGGTAAGGGGGGAGGAGTTACTCAATCTGCGTAGATCGGAGTACATTTCACGGAGTGAACTCAACAGCGGCAAGGATGGAAGTTAGTTTGGCTCCGCAATGCACAATATTGCGGCTCATTGAAATCAGTTTGGCGATGGTAGGCGAGCCATATATGCTGTCGTACTCACAATACTCCGGGAATTTCCTCCACGTTATGTGCTACGTGTGACGTTTTACACAAAATGGTGTGTTTTTCGTCAAAATCACTTCAATACCTCTAACGACAAGGACAGCCATACGAATTTTTCAGAAAGAAAAGCTTGCAAGTCGAACAAAAATTTTTCCGAGTTCAGGGGTCGAACCCGGTACCACGTTTCCATTCGCTCCTAGAACTTTCTGCTAGATGCTGACCCGCAGCTTGCGAGATAGAATGCCGGCATAGGCGACTGCCTTTTCGATGCAGGTGAGTATGCTGTAGGAAAGTGTGCTCATGTTTGGGTGCACGTTAAAGAAGCCAAGGAAGTCAAAATTTCCGGAGCCCTCCACTACGGCGTCTCTCATAATCATATCGTGGTTTTGCGGCATTAAACCACACATATCACTCAAGTTTTTGCTGGAAATGGGTGGGTGCCAATTATTTGTTTTTAGTTTTGTAAGCCTTCTTCCACAAACTCATTAGCCACAGAGCATCACAGATTTTTACACAGGTATATAAAATATCTGAGTAATTCGTGAGTCGAATAGAACTCTAGTACGCGAAAAATCACAGGGTCCAATATAAATTTGCCGGAGGTGACTTGAAGGGTGACAGTTCTTCTTCTTGATTATTGATGCGTAT